CCTCCACATCTTCTGCTGTGGGAGCCAAGGCTTGTTTTCTAGACTAAATCTAATCAACTTGGGCAATGAAGAAGGAAGGCCTCTTCATTAGAGATCAGCTCTGCTCACAAATCAATGGGCCTGTCTACACACATGAGCCATCTGCACACACTGCCCCAATTCCAATGGGCTAGTCTCATGAAGGGTCTGTGTGTGTGTGTGTGTGTGTGTGTGTGTGTGTGCGCGCAAGTATGTAAAGTATTTGAACAGAACATGGCTATGTAATATATATCATATATCATTGTTATGTAATATATTTATATCAGATGTACATCACAATCCTTAAGAAAAGATCTGTCGCTACTTCCATTTCATTGCGACTTTTTGTGTTCCACAAAAGAAAGTCATACAGGTCTGGAACAACATGAAGGTGACTAATTGATGACAGAATTTTTATCTCTGGCGGAACTGTTCATTCAAGTAAAAATACAACTCATATCTGAGCAGGACTTTTGCTGCTATCTAAACTGAGGATTTCAGATAAAACTGCTTTAGGAGAAATGGGACCTCATGCTGCCAAAGGAATGAGGAGAGCAGAGGAGAAGAACAGCATGAGAAAAGGAGAAGTAGAGCTGCTCTCTGAGCCTCTTATGTCACAATCCCTGCTGAGTTTTTATTGCATAGCCCAAGCAGGATTAGAGTGCGCTGTGGAACGATCACCAAAAGCAACAAAGTGCTCAGATTGGAATTCACTGAGAGCTGTCATCGTGCTCATGCCACAGTCTACATACTGTGGGAGAAAATATGCACATACACACATGCAAATAAAGACCTCTCATATACTGCTTTTCAAAAGCTAGCATGCTGCCTATCTAGATGTCATTTTGGGCATCATCGATTTGGCACAGTAGAACATTTAGGGTGTGTTCACACTTGTAGTTCGGTTCGTTTGCTTCATTTGGTCCGGACCAAAAAGGAAAATGATACATTTGGTCCTGGTCCGCTTAGCGTTCACATTGGCATTTTTGACAGTGAACCTAAAGACACAGAACCTAAAGGCATAGTGATACGTTCACAACCTGATTGGTCGGCTTGAATGACATATATATCGTGACAGAACTCACTGAACACCCCAAACAAAAGGTGCATTAGACTTAAAGCTTTATGTCGAACACACCTAATGCCGTCTGCTGGACTAAGCGCGCTCATTCTTGCGTGTACATATACTTTTATTTTCACCACCTGCAAGCTCATAAAAGGCACTTTACCTCATCGTTGCTCCACGTTTGCCCTCTGCTCATTTTGTTTTGGTTACACCGC